TCCCCATACATTTCCTTATAACAGGACACCACAGAAACCAAGCTTGGGCTACCTGTGCTCAAACTCTTCAAAATTCTTAGAAAACGTGCTGAAATGCACGCATGCACAAACGTTTTCTTATGTTTTCATGAAACATAACACCATGACACTGAAGAGGCTTTTCTTGATTTATTATTTTCCAAACCATATTTTTTACAATATTGAGCTGAAGGGATATGACGATTTAAGTGACCGTCTTTGATGCGTAGGGAAAAACCAGAAATAATAAATCGTAATTCCTGGACTGATATACGTTATAGCTCCCAAAAAATGTCCGCTGACCAGAAACTGATTAAGGCACGACCAACCTGTGATCTGCATTTTCTAAATGAAATCGCGATCGATTTTTTTTAACGTAATCCCTTTATTGAATACTCTTTAATTTACCCCTTAAAAAGCAATGCGGAAAAAACCTCGAGTTGAACCAAGTCCAAACGTCAATCTCGCAAAGCAACATCGATCCCATATTTCTTGGAATCGGCTGAGTTATCTGATGAACCAATCACAACAGCTGTTATTATTCTTTCAGCCAATACAAATCCTCGTTAGATCGCGTATGGTTCTTTTTGCCAGGTTATTAATAGGACACATGCTTAGGTCCAAGGGTCTTGCATTGGTGGGAGCTGTTTGGAAAAGTAGAATATTCATCAAAACAGTGAATAATACTTTTAATCCACGTTTTCTTTCCTCCTTGGCTTCAACTATGGCTTATTCTCTCCGTGAAAGTGGCGCTCCAAATACCTTGGACTACAGAATATATTTTTGTGAGTAAAAAAATTCTTTGTAAAGGTTCTCTCGTGGCGAATACGTGGACAAAATTTATGAAGTTGTTCGGCATTCAATACTTTAGACCTTAAAGAACTGTACTTTGGTGGTAATAGAAGGGCATTTGTCTTTGTTTTCGATTCTTAGGGAACTTTCTTGTCTTGACACCTACGATCAAACTTGGTGCATTTTGAAATTTACCATCCAACAGGCTCTTTTCAGAAAAGAATCGTGAAAAATATTCTTGATGGAAACTCATTTAATGTCTTACTTTTTCAAATACTATCAATGCCCTAATTATTTTAACGAGCTTACTTCAATCGAAATGGCATAATCTTTAATCGTGATATTCGATCATTCTGCCACTCCCATTGTAACCAAAGCTTCATTTATTTTCTTGGGTGTTTTGTCTAGGTTCTGATGGACACGCTATATCACCTTTCCATGACGTCCCACTCTTTGCCAATGATGAGGTAAACATCCTGTATTTGCATAAATGTTATTTTTAGATTATCTCTTTGGCTTGTACAAGTTATGTGCTATATTATTATGCTTATGATCCCTTCAACTATATCATTATTATTGAAGTGCATTTGATGGTTCCGCAACCTTTGACTTCCTGAAACCTCAGTTTTTGGCTTCTATGAAGAAATAGAAAACATGAACTGTGTGCAGTCATGCAATTGATCAGGGGGTTGGCAGCTGAAAACGAGAAAAGTGTTAGGAGAAGCATGACATAATAGTCGAGTGCTTTTCAAACACTTCTTTTGTGTTCTGCCATATATTCATCAAGTGCTTTATTTTCCACACAGCACAGCAAGCAAGTTTTATTTCTTTTTCTTTCATAATATTTTTTTCATAAATTACAAATATTACAATAAACTTTATTTTGGATAGGAGTGACACATGTAGTAGAGCATGTGCTGCCATCCAATCGGAACACCATATTTATCACAGTTATCTTATAATGCATCATAAAAAATGCCATATTTTCAGAAGACTGTATGGTAAGTTTAATGGAATTTCTATATTCATTTAAAACACTCATTAATAATTCATAAGCTTATGGTCCAATTGGAGCCACCATACACGTCACGTGCATGAACCTTTATACCCGATAAAGTCCTCTTCATTAGTATTCAAGTGATTTTATATAAAGACACATGTGTCTTTATATAAAGACCACTCGAATACTATGAGGATGACTTCATCAGGAATGAAGTATGCATCCAAGTTTAGATGRAGGCATAGAGCTTCATCAAGGTCATAGTCAACCCTAAAGATCTTTGACTAACGTGCCTGTCTTTGCCTTGACACGCAATATCCAACGTGTGGGAGCTTCTATTGAATCTGGTAGCGCATGCCCGTGACGTCAAATCTCTATCGAAGTATAAAAATCCATGTTCGTGACGTGTATGGTGGCTYCAGTTGAACCAAAATCTTATAAATTGTTCATGAGTGTTTTAAGCAGTTCAAAAAACTCGTAGATCGTGTTTTATCAGGTATAAAAGCACTCGGCTACGCCTCGTGCTTTCATACCTGATAAAACACTCCTACTCGTTTTTTAAACACTACATATTGAACTGCATTTTGTTTCAGAAAACCCTACTGAATATGGTGGTAGAGGTACCAAGATGGACTAATGCAAAGATGGAGGTATTGTTAATTCAATTACGTGAAAAAGAGGAGTGGTAGAACACTTTCTTAAGTGAGTCTGTGTGGGGGGAGTGGCACTTTTTTAAGTGAGTGTGTTTGGGGGGGAAGGGGGGTGAAGGAGCACTTTTCTTAAAGTGAGAGAGCTCAAGAGCCAATCATTGTTTTTCTTTTATAATGGAATCCAAACTAATAAAAAATAAATTGTAATTCTCATTAAAAGTGGAGTGGAAGAAGGGGGATCAAGGCCCCCCAGCCTATAGCCTCCGCCATGCCATCTAGTAGATTGGAGTAGATTTCATATAACTGTATGCATAACTTCACATACGGTGTGAAATTCACATTTAGGTCTTATTAATCAATCACTGGAAGCAATATCACTTTACATCAAGTTAAATTTCCTGGATTCAGCACTATTTTAATTGCAGTACATCTTCATGAGTTCTACTTTACTGTAATCTTTTACTCCGACAAAGGACTAATGTCAGAAACGTCAGTCATCTTTTCACGGCATATAATTTACCATTTTATCATTACTGTTTCATTAGAAACACCGACGCAGCTCACATTAGTTTTTAGCTAGTTATCTCTTCTTGTAATTTGTTATACAAAATAGATAATTATTTAATAATTTGGTGGTAGTTATAGAGTTAGTTATATAATTATTAGTTTCATTTGTTTGTAGATCAACACAAAAGAAGCACTGAATCCCATCAAGCAGGATGTTAAGAAAGGAAAACTGAGATACGTTAATCACTGCTTTCCATATCATGGCTACATCTGGAACTATGGAGCCTTTCCTCAGGTTTGAATCTTCTTTGTACATTCTGTACATCATTTTAGTCAATATAATATTGATATCAGATAATGGCCAGTAAGTTGCCAGTCATGATCACAGGTCAAATTAATGTTAGCTCAGTCATACGTTGTTTGTGGCTAAACGTTACAGGTCAAAATGGCCGAAATGCAAAGATTTGGCTGGACAAGTTCCAATTCATTATCCAATTTCTGGCCATTATCGTAAGCCCTGTATGTGCATTGGCAGATCCTGGATTTTAATAAGGGGGATTCCAAAATGGCAGCCACACAGAAAAAGCTGGTATGATCGGCTTCAAATAAAGGGGGGGGGGGGGTTCCATGGAACCCATTGAACCACCCCTCGATCTGCCACTGCCGTATATCGGAGGATAGGCCATTAATTATTTTCTTCAACCAATGCAGTTTTGGGCTTTTCTAGCAAAATAATTTTCAGGAAATAAATTCAAATAAATGGTTAATTCATATTTTCTGATCAGAGTTTTTTGTTTTCCAACAGACGTGGGAAGACCCTAGCCACAAAGATGAAGACACAGGTTGTCTTGGAGATAATGATCCAATAGATGTCTGCGACATTGGAACATTGGTAGTTATTGTGATGGAATAATTTGTGAGACTTTTCAAACAACAATAGAGCTTTCCCACTTGACAAATATGATGAACTGATGGTTGCAATTCAAGGTTGGACTTGATGAATAAAAGAATCAAGTTCAGTCTTGACTTCAAACCATTGTTTCATGGTCAGTCAAGCGAATTCAGGAAAGGTCTATTGAGTTCTTGGATATATGATAGACCTCTTTTAATTACCCTAGCTGTTATTTTTTTTTAACAATAGTATCTTTGAGGCTTTCGGGATTACGGATAAAACGCATAGAAGTTTTAAAAAACATGACGTTTCAGCTATATAACCAGCGATAGCCTTTATCAGAATTATTCTTTCTCTGCAACTCAAAAGATTGCATGTGGTCTGAAATGGGAAAATATACACCCAATATGCTAAAGGCGCTGGGGTCTATGATAAATCAAGACATGTTTGCCTGATATTTTCAAAAACTCATTAATAATTCATGAAGGAATTACAATAGAAATCATGACCATGAAGGAGGTTTTATATCTGATATAGATCCGTCTTCATTTGCATAAACTTTAACTTGGATTTTCTCTATCAAACTTGGTTCATTTTGTAAAGTATTCAGTATATTAATATGAGATCGTACATCAGGAGTGTAAAAGCTGTTTTATAAACTCGCAGCTATCATGTTTTATTGGGTTTAAAACGACTCGGCTGCGCCTTGTGTTTCATACGGTCTGATAAACACTCCTCATTTATTAAACAGTTTAAAACACTTGTTCCTTATATCATGCAGGCAGCCAAACGAGGTGACATCAAACAAGTCAAAGTCCTTGGAATCCTTGCCATGATTGATGAAGGAGAAACTGACTGGAAAGTAATTGTCATTGATGTTAATGACCCAAAGGCCAAAGACATGAATGGTAATAGTAATATTGCTTAATACTATAGAATATATGCCTCATTATGCTCTTTATAGTTGCGATCTTTTCTTTCAGACAGATGTCAGATAGCTGTCAAAATTAACCTGGGAAGCCAGTAAGCAAACTAGAGTGATTTAAATCAGAACTCTAGTTAATCAAATAAATATTTTGACAAAATTATTGTCAGTGTAATAAATAAAATTAATAAAATTTAGGTCCTGACAGATAGAAATACTTTCTTTTTCTGAAAACTTAATTTAAAAATAATTAAGAAGTGATTCAGGTCATCTAGTTAATTAAATAAGATTTTTACAAAAACTATAAAATAATAATAAATTAAAAACTTGGGTCCTCAGCCAGAAAAAAAGGATTCGTGTTTGCATTATGACTTGAATTGCCCTCAAAAAGATTTATTTTTATGTTTTTCAGATATTGGAGATGTTGAAAAACACATGCCAGGCTTACTTAAGGTTAGCTTGTAATATTACAGGGGTTAGATCTAGGGGGTGGGGGTGGGGGTTCAGGTGGTCATCCACCACATGTACATATATACAACCTTGATACTGAAGCTGAACCTGTTAAATGAATACTACAAACCGTTTATTTAGAAAATAGACAACTGGTTCAAAATGTTTTATTTGGACCAAACCTTTCATGTTGAACCCCCCTTTTTATTCTTTATGGGTAGCCTGGGTGGAGTTCACGGCTAACGCATCATCTTTCACCGCTGTGAGTCCAACGGGTTGGGTCGCTGCTTCAAGCCCTGCGGCCGCCACATGTGAATTGGGTTTGTTTGATGTGTTGTTCTCTCCTATGCTACGAGGGTTTTCTCTGGGTTCTCTGGTTTCCTCCCTCCGTAAAAATCAACATGTGAGTCGAGCGTTGTGTGCATAGAACGTTAGGTGTAGTGGTAGTGCGTGTGAGTGAAAAGTGTCCCCAATTAGTGCGAAAGCGCTAGAACAACTAGACACTTAAAAAAAAGTGATTTATCCTTGATTTTACTGTATTGTGTCATGAGAAAGCTGAGGCACTAATATAAATTGTTAAATTAGGCAATGAACCTCGCAGCACCAATTAAGTTGGAAGCCTGTGCAAGAGGTGTATGTATCCATGTAACCATTGTTGTAGTATCAATTAGGGGAGGGGACCCCAAAATGGTTAACTGAAGCTGCGAATCTGAGAAAGCGTACAGATGTGTATATTTGCAGGTAGATGGTACATTGTATGCCCTATGACCAAAACCTCACTATACAATATTGCATGTGATATTTTAACTGCTGTTTGTTTTCATGCAGGCGACAGTAGATTGGTTCAAGATATACAAAGTCCCCACAGGCAAACCAGAGAATACTTTTGCATTTGATGGTGAAGCAAAGGACAAGGTTTGTTCAAAATGTTTTATCATAGCTGTAGATGGGTTTCCTTTTCCAGAGGAAGTGCTTGCAAGGTATCTTACAGTGCAACTACTGTAACCTGGGCCACTTAGACAGCAAAGAGCAATCAAATTGTAGAATAAAAATTACAACACATTCCAAGTTTGGGTAGTGGAGCCAATCAAAAAGCGGAAAACTAGCTAATTATACAACTTTGTGTTTGACGGGGTCCAAATAAAATCACTCTATGAGAGTCTAGCTTCATATTTTTGCTATTTTGCAGCAATTTGCCATGAAGATTATCAATGAGACGCATGATTACTGGAAGCAGCTTATAATGGAAAAGACTGGAAACAAGGGTGGACTAGCATGGTAAGTATAACAGAAGCCTTCAAACAGTTAAGGACATCTATTCACTTAGGTTGATATGGTTTATATTTTTGTTCTTAAATACATTTTTTTTCCTTTTTTTGTTTTGTTTGTTTGTTTGATGGATTGTTTGTTTGTTTGTATATGTTCGTTTGTTTGTTAATGTGTGTGTTTGTTGTTTTTGTTTTGTTTTTTCATGGGATTATATTTCATTGTTGGCATGCAGCATGGATAATGTACAATACATGATGTATATATGCAAGAAAAAACCCTTCTAATTTTCCATTGACAGCAAAACGGTAACCATGACTGACTCACCATACAAAATGGCCCAAGAAGATGCAGATGCAATCATGAATAAAGTAAGTTTTGCTTGCCCATTTTTCTCCTTCATGTTTTTTTTTCTTCCTTCTTTGCTTCCTTTCTTCTACATGTACTGTAACTCCATTCTCTTCACCTCCCCTTTTTATTTTTTATTTTGGTTTCTTTTCACTTTACTTCACTTCATTTCCATCCCACTCCTTCCCTTCTTTCCCTTCATGTTCAAACTTCATTTATTCTCTTTCTTTAAATTTTTCCTTCCTTCCTAATGTTTCTTAATTTCTTTCTTCTTTTCTTCCTTTCTTCTTTTCTTCCTCTTTCTCCTTGTTACATTCTAGATCTCTTAATCTTTTTTATTACTTTGATCTTTATTCCCTTCTCCTTTTGTCCTTGACTTTGTTTTTAAACCTTAGTGTCCTCTTAGTAATAATGAGCCTCTTCAGATAATAAATGTTTTTGTTTTTAATTTTTGACAAACATTTTCTCCTTTATCTAGACTCCACCAGTAGATCCAGCACAGCCTGTCGCAGAAGAAGGTAAATAACGATATTTCATTCATGTTTAATAATGTAATAAAAATATTCTAAACTTTTGTATGTTATGGTTTTAATTTTCAGCTGACCGTTGGCATTTTGTAACACGTTCTTGACTGCATGGCAAAAAATTAAAGACCAATGTTGCTTTTTACCACAAGTTGTAGAATCTTATAGGCACTGTCTCTTATTGAAATTGGTTTGGCTGATAATCACCTAGTGGTTTAGTTTAACATAGATTCAGCTGTCAGCTATATATGCTTGCTTTGGTGGTGCTCTGGTGAACAAGTACCATAGTTTTTCACACATAATATCAAAATCTTAGATAAAATAAAGTTGAAAATCAATTTGTCTTGTGTAATATTAATTGTACTTCAGTACTGCAATAGGCTATCTGCATTATAGCCTCATAAACTACTATTCTTCGCAGTTTACTGAGGCAGTTATGATTTTTTTGTCATCTTTGTGCATGTGGACCAGTTTTTTTACACTGTGATAACAATTTAACTGCACTTTGGACACATGGTTTAAAAAACTTGTCCAAGTAGTACAACCTTGGCATGATACTTGGGGTTAACAATATAACTAGGCGATGAAAAAATCATGACTGCCAATTTGGTCTAGTGGGAAGTCGTACCACTGTCAGAATCCTTTGTCTTATATATTACTTTTTTGAGGAGGATGCTTTATCAATACGGCTGCCTTGTCACGTGAGTGAAAACACTATTGAATGAACTGGGCTTCTTTTGCTACATACACTTTCTATTAAGGGAAAATACCCACCCACCCACTACCTAGGAAAACAGGTGCGGGGTTCCTGTGGTTTGCATAACGATAAGGGAATGGGTCGAGGAAGTTCTGCAAGATGGCGGACGAAGGTGTAGCGCAAAAAGTGTGTGAAACACCAGCCTGTAACAAGCCAGCCAGTCTACAATGCCCTTCTTGCATCAAGTTAAATATCGAGGGAAGCTTCTTTTGTTCACAGGTAAAAATCTGTTCGAATTTCTGCACATTTGATAATATTTTCATACGAAAAGGAAAGTAAGGTGACTGTCGCCTGACCATGCAGCAAAACCAAAACCTAAGCTAAAATTAGGATTGCTTTGCTCGAAATTATCTCACCTAACTCATTTTTAACTTACATTAGTTAGCCATTTTCTGCCTTGGATGAAGAAATTGTTGAGTTGATCTTTTAAGATGTGCAGGATTTTTTTTTTTTTTTATTTCTTCTGGCATAAATTTCGTGCATCACTAGGATGATGCAGTAAGCTTGCTTTCTTTTTAAAATGTAATGAGATGGGAAAAGCATTGAATTTTCATTGAATTTCATTGTTTTCATTTTCACCTCATTCTCCAAAGCAAAGCAATTTACCTCACCTTTCACCCAACCCCCCCCCCCCCCCCCCCCCCTCAAATCACATACATATACCACACAATCACACACACAATCAGAAATTCAATGCAAAATTCAATAAAATTTTTTAAACATTTCCCTAATAAATTATTCTCTTAACTCAGGTTCCCATTAACTGTATGGCAAAATTTTCACTCAGGAGGTCTGTACAGGCCCGCAAATGATCCCAGGACCGCAAATGATCCCGGACCGCAAATGATCCCGATACTGGATCACAAATGATCACAATGAACAAAAGAACTGTAAATCGTATTATATTTTGAAATGCAAGGATTTTTGTCTAAGTTGAAAATACATAAGTAAAAGTATTTATAGGATTCCTATTAGGATTCACAATAATTATCCATGTTGAGGATTCCCCCACTCCAAACCATTCCGTATATTATTGCGCGATCATTTGCGATCCAGTATCGGGATCGTTTGCGGTCCAGGATCATTTGCGGTCCTATTCGGGGATCATTTGCGGTCCCGGGATCATTTGCGGTCCTGGGATCATTTGCGGGCCTGTACAGGTCAGCTCTTGAACAAACCTCCCGCTCTTTCTCTACTTCTCTCCCTCTCTCTTACCAATAAGAGTTATACTTTCCAATTATTGGTGTAGCTTTAATACTGTATTTTATTTGTTTACAAGGACTGTTTCAAAGGTTACTGGAATGAGCACAAAAAACTTCACAAAGCTGCCAAAGCTGCAGGTGTGGTAACTATGAGTGAGAATCTCTTTCTTTATCCTAACTCTACCCTAGATTCCGTATACCAATAATCTACCTACAGTACAACATGTATTTCACATTGTTCTACTTTACTCCAAATTTCTCTCTCAATTTCTAATGTACATATATCATTAGTAATGTATTATACAGTATGAGTGGCCGTGTTGTATCAGATATACAACCACGAGGCGTAGCCAAGGGATTGTATATCTGATACAACACGGACACGAATACTGTATATGACTTATCAAACGTCTAGGTTAGTTCCTTTGTGTTTCACTAAAATTTTCAAAATTAAAGTAAATTTGGCCAAGAAAATCCAACTTAAAGTTTATGCAAATGAACACAGTTTTGTATCAGATTTACAACACTCTTCACGGTCATGATTTCTTTTGTGTTTTCCTCATGAATTATTAATGAGTTTGATAATATTATATACTGCAGGCGTTCTAACATTTTACAAAATTATTAGCGTAATAATAGCAGTATAACTTACTATAATAGTACTAGATAAATATTAAATTCTTAATATTAAATTCCCAAGGTGAAATGAATGTTAAAACCAGCAATAGTTATAATCCTTGGCCAGACTATAGATTTACAGGCAAGATACGACCATGGCCACAGGTTGGTAACTAGTGCACTAATTATATATTAATTATTATGAATTATTAAAAAGCATAAAAATAGTAGTATAGTATATAATATCCTATATTTATTCATTCATTCATTCATTCATTCATTCATTCATTCATTTATTTATTTACTTATTTATTTGTTTATTTATTTATTTATTTATCTATTATTTATTTCATTTTATTCTTTTTTCATATCTTTTTAACAAATAGTAAGTTCTATATTATATACATATCTACATATATTTTTTTAGATATAGTTTCTTCTTATTTTATTGTTGTTGACTTGGATGCGATTTATATATATTGAAAGAGAGTTAATAAAAATATTTGTAAAATAACTTATAAATCTCACATACTTATTGGTTGGGAGCATGTGCTTTATGAGAGCACACAGCACACATGCTCCCTTTGTATTTGACATAAGAAATAAAAAACTTGCTTGCTTTGCTTTTTGAAGTTATAAAGCACTTGGGGATTGGCAGAGCACTTGAGAAGTGTTGAGAAGCACTATGCTACGCATGATGCTTCTTCTAACACTTCTCTCATGTTCTACCTATCCCCGAGTGCTTTGTAACTGCACACAGCACGCAGTCACGCTTTTTATTTCTTCAATATATATTGTCAAAAGAGAGTAGATAAAATTATTACAAAGCAAAATAATTTTTTTATTTTGTCCTGCAAACTAGACACCAATGAAAACGGTTCCACCACACATTGAAAGACCAGACTATGCTGATACTGGTAAGATACATGTATCTATACTAGATCTCTTGTTTCAATCTTATACTCAATATTTCCAATACTTCTTACAGGATGACACATGATACTGACATATCTAGATCTATTGATTCAATCTTATGCCCAATATTTCCTATACTTCTCACAGCGTGACACACAAAAGTATGACCATATTGAAATTTATGTATTCACATACTTCTATGCTATAGGCTTTTTGCTACTGCTGGTAAATGATCTTTTACAAGCCTAATTTGGTAAAACTGGCCAGCTTTGAATCAAAATGTGCCATGAGTTTAATGTACTGAAGACTTTGCATAAAAATACGCAAATATATTATTGCGGGTTATACTTTAATTGCACATTGCGCAACTGTCAAGATGTTATAAATTATTAACAAGTCTTTGTTTATAGGAAATCCAATCTCTGAGATGAAATCAAAGCAGAGTACTCAAATCCAAGTTCTTTCTAAAGATGAAATAGAAGGCATGAGACTAGTTTGCAAAGTAAGTAAAATGGTAGCATCAAAATCCATTCACCAAACACAGACACAAGGGCGGATCCAGGGGGGGTAAAGGGGGGCTGAAGGCCCCCTTCAGCAGAAAAAAAAAAAAAAACTGAAGAATTAGTTGCTTTTTTTTATTGTTTTCTGTTGTGTTGACGGAAGAAACTCAATTAGCCCCCCCTAAAATTGTGGCTGGATCCACCCTTGAGACACATGCAGTTCTTGACCAATAAGAGCATACTGTACCTATACAGCTGTACTATCTAAGCTTTAAACTGTAACTTTAACTGATACTAAATGAGCAACAGGTTTCTTAATAATTTGCCAGTTTTATTCATTCATTCATGACTAAGTTCACCACAAAATTAATACCAACAGTTAGCAAGAGAAGTGCTAGATGAAGGTGCAAAAGCAATTAAAATTGGAGCAACAGGAGATGAAATAGACAGAATTGTACATGAGGTGGGTATAGTAGAATCTTATGCTTGAAGTACATGACTGTCGATCCAGGGGTGGTCCTGTGGAACTCCCGTTTTAAGCTAATTGCACCAGCTTTTTCTGTGCAGCAGCCATTTTGGAACCCCCTTTTAATATTCTGGATCTGCTGATCACTGGTATATAGCTACAAAAGGGACAGAAAATCTTACAGAATAATGTAATACAGTATAATGATGTGAATAATTTTTTTCAATTTTTAGGCTAGTGTAGAGAGAAATTGTTACCCATCTCCACTAAACTATCACAACTTCCCAAAGTCTTGCTGCACGTAAGTTAAACACAACTCTGTTATCTTCATTTTACTGCAGATTTCAATGATATTATGTAAACTTGGTCACTGCGAGATGTATGCTGGAATTTGGTTTTTCTCTTCTGTCAATCAAAATTAATCCTTTTCAGTACCTCATGAAAAACAGAATTCCAATGGGCAACTCCCAACTGCTGAGTTTGCGTAATATTGAATTTAATAACATTAATTTCCATGGATTGCAAAGCAGTTTTATTTATTTATGGACCAGATACTTATACATTTATCTTAATCCTAGGTCAGTTAATGAAGTTATCTGCCATGGAATACCAGACAAGAGACCTCTAGAGGATGGTGACATAGTTAATTGTATGTGCACATAATTTGCATATTTTGAAGGGTATTTGTACAGTAGATCATTCTAGCAGCTGAGAACTGCTCTACAATCTGCCATGGTCATCAATCGACGATGAGCCATGGCAGTCAATCATGAAAGGCAGACAAAATGGCTGCAATTAACCTTGCTTGACCTAGCAATGTACATTCAGTTATGCAAAAGCAGACCAAAGGTTTGATTGAGGCCGATTTTGTATGACGTACATGTCTAGTTATTTGTCACAATTTCAATYTTGTATATTTCAGTGGACATCACGGTGTATCATGGTGGTTTCCATGGTGATTTAAATGAGACCTTCTTTGTGGGCAATGTAGACAGCAACTCCAAGAAGCTAGTTAATGTAACACATGAATGTCTTATGCAGGCCATAGACATAGGTAAGTCCATAAACTGAAGTAAATTGCTTTTTGGGCCTCCTGTGGTGCAAATACCACAGGCAACCCAAATAGCCGAGCAAATATCATGAAGTGACCATGGTGAAAATTTTGTACCATCAGTGAAGCCTGGTGTACGATACAGAGAGATTGGAAATGTAATACAGAAGCATGCCCAAGCTCATGGATTTTCTGTTGTTAGAAGCTACTGCGGTCATGGAATAAATCAGTAAGTGTCATTAAACCCTTTATGCTTGGGCCCCCGGGGGGGGGGG